CAACATATTTTAATTAATTAAATTGCTAATAACGTCATAGTTTTTTTTGTCAGTTTTTACATATTTTTAGTCAAAAATGAAGTTGTTTTTAAAAATTACATTTAAAAAAATGTTTAAAAACTACCCAATGAAGTCTATTTGGGCAGAAATATTTGACGTTAAATTATAATTAATTTAATAATTGGACGAAATGTTGTTTTATTTGCAAAAATCACCTACAATTTTTTTTTCAATTTTTGGTTTAATTAGAAAAAGGTGTTTTGGAGGTGTGGTTAAATTATAATTTATTGAAGTATGTAATTAGAAAAACTTGCTTGCTAAGTAAACGAAATTTTTGGGCCTTAAATTAAATTCTGTTAATTAGAATTAATCAGTAATGAAAAGATAATTTTGTGGTGGTTTTTTATGATTACTCATTGCAAATAACTTTCTTGGACCAGTTTTAATGGATTGAAAATTTAGGTAATTTGCTGGAATTTGTGGTAATTTGCGTAATTATGAAAATTAATAAGGAAACCTTGTCCCGGTTGCCAATTTAGCACATCTCGGGCACAAACTAGTCAAATGTCACCGTAATTCAATGCTAATTTCGCTATTTGTTCATAAAAAGGCAACTTCCGTGTGTCATTGATGCCAACATGATAACATAAAAAAAATCACGCGACGCGGAAGTCTCGTGAAAAATCGTTTGCAATTATCCGATCAAGCAACAAACGCGAAAAAACCTTCTTCAAATGTAAATGTTACACAAAAAAGTCGGTTACATAAATGAACATAAATTGCACAATTATTATTATTATTTGACGTTCGCTATTAATTTCCAGTGTAATGGAACAGGCCGTAAGCGTGCAGCTTTCACGTGTCTTGCATTTTTGCAGATTTCACTCAAAAAAAAAAATTATTTTCTCATACTAAAATTATTGACCCACTTTTGTTATATAATTTCGACAATTAGCCATTTTTTGTTTACACTGATCGCTTGATCAGGTTCATCATTACATAACAACAATTTTTAAATTGGCTAATTTTTCACCGGTTTGGATAACCGGAATTTGCGAATTTCGGAGCTGACATTTGTCTGGTACCTGGTACCACCAAAAAAAAAAAACAAAAAAAAAGTTGGTCGCACCCGGGCTCGAACCTCCGATTTTTGAGATGGCACATCTTTATTTTTGAAATTGTGTTTTCCCGACTTTAAATTAAGTCCGATTATCATTTTTATTGCTCTGCAAGGTGAAAATTAATCACCCCGTATCTGCCTAAACTAAAATTTGAGATTTTTTCGGATACACTTACACACGGAGACTCACCATTCAAAACGTATTAAAATATACCGGGTGAGTCACCAAAATTTCTTTCAGTTTTAATATTTTGCTTCCCCTTACATTAATAGCTAGCAGAAAAAATGATTATATTTTATTAAAATATACAGAGTGAGTCACCAATGTTAATAAAAATCGAAGGCTTTTAGCACTTTTTGCTTTTAATATAAATATAATATAAATATAAAACATACAGGGTGAACTAGAAACTACTAAAAACTACTTTGTTTCTCTTAGCATTTTTGAAAGACACTCTGTATTTGCTTAAACAGGAAATTTGTCACAACGAGAATTAATTTAAATTTTTTAATACATATTCGGATATACAGGGTGATTCTCCAATTTTGTTTTTATTGAGATTTTTTGATGTTTTATTAAAATATACGGAGTGAATCACTAACATTATTAAAAATTGGAGCCTTGTTGCACTTTTTTGCTTTTTGACACATATACACATATAGAGTGAATTAGAAACTATTAAAAATTACTTTCTTCTTACCGATTTAATTAATTTTTAGTTTAGTGTTTTTGACAAAACACCCTGTATTTGCTTAAACGAAATAATGATTAATTTGAGATTTTTTAATGCGTATTTGGGTATACAGGGTGATTATCTAGTTTTGTTTTTTTATGGGAATTTTTTGCTAAACATCAAACGTTTCTTTATTAAGGTCCATTTTTGCAATTAAATATACAGGGGTGACTGATCAAAATGTGTATGACTGTTTTCTCTTTTAAACCTCAACTTATTTACACTTTTTTTCTTTTAATTTTTGATTTTTACGATTTTTTTGCAACTGACTTTTTAGATTTAGAATTTTTGTTTACACTGATCGTGTGATCAGGTTCATTATTGTATAACAACAATTTTTAAATTGCCTAATTTTTCACCGGTTTAGATAACCGGAGCTGACATTTGTCTGGTACCTGGTACCATTAAAAAAAATCAAAAAAAAGTTGGCGGAACCCGGGCTCGAACTCCCGATTTTTGAGATGACACACCGTCATTTTTTAAATTGTGTTTTCCTAACTTTAAATTAAGTCCGATTATCATTTTTATTGCTTTGAAATTTTAAAACATGCAAGGTGAAAAGTCAAGGATGCATTTTTGCGTAAATATTCAAAATTTTGTACTTGATATTTTTGCAAACATTACATTTGATGGCTTAATTATGCCATATCTGTTGAGGAAATTAAACAGAAATATAAATAAAAACTGACCTTTTTTTAATCTCAGTATTTTAAATAAAATGAGATAAAATAAGACAATAATTTGATATTTAATTAATGTGTGACTATACAGGGAGTTTTCTTAAAACTGCAACATATTCCACGTTGAAAAATAATACTAATTTGTCAAATAAAAATATTCCGATAAAGCTTTGTTACGGATATACAGGGTGATCAGAAACCACTTGAGTTATTTTCATAAAATTTTACGGGGTTTGTGAGTCTTTGAAAGCGTTGATTTTACGACAATTACTTATTTTTTATTAGATGCAAAATATTAATTTTTTGCAATATTAAAAAACACCCTATACAAGG